CATTTCAATTTAAAAGTTTCCTATAAACGAAGTTATATGGGTGGGACGGGCTTATCTATATAAGAATTATGTTAATAAAAACACATTTTATAAATACTACCAACCAAAGAAACCCTTATAATAAAAAATTTTAGTTATATTTTTTTTTTACTATTCAGAGTCGACGTTTGTATGTATATAGTGCTTCCACTATGCGGCGCAGGGTTGCACAAGTAGACTTTCATGCAAGACGTTGAGCCTCCATTTAAACACCATTTATCTCTGCTCCATTTGCTTGGAATAAACAAGTAACTTTTAACATACGCAAAAAGAAAATATTCCGACGAATTGATAACCTCCTCCTTTTTCTGAAGTCTGTTAAAAATATTAAAAAATCCTAAAGTTTTAATCAAACTGATTGATAACGAATAATGTACATACATAGTATGTGGCCTGAAAAAAAAATGCATATGCCTTCTTGTGGAAAAAGGTTCTGGGACAAAGACATATTTAGTTACGAATGCTTGGATCATGCACTAAAGGAACGAGTTTCCGACTTTATTGGTCAAAACTCCTCGCGAAGCCACCTTCAGTGTCTTTTCACCTTGTCGGAAAAGGGAACGTACTAAAATGCTTTCAAATTTTTCTCTTTCCAAATAACATATGTACGTGGTAGAGGCCATCGGGAAGGGAAGGAAAGTCTTGTGCGAAACATACAGTTTTGATGTGGAAGATAACGACAGTACTTCTTTGGTTTGCCCTTAAAATCGTCCAAATTGAATCAACGAATAAATGTAAGCTGATTAACATTGTCACGTTATTGCAATGGCCATTGAATGAAAAATGATACTGAAGATGATACAACGCTGAGACCGGTTTGTCTTCAACCCAAACGTGACAAGGGATTTGTTCCAAAATAAGCCATTTTGAGACCTTTATTCCTACAAATCTAATAATGGAAATTAAATTAATTTGCTTTAATTTTCCCATTTCCAATTTTCTCTTGCACTTTATATCAGAGCAATTAAATTTTAAATAAATCTTCTTAATCTTTAGTTTTCTATGAAAGCAAACTACTTCTGCGATCTTTTACCAAATATTTAAGGTAGTGCGATTTTACTGACCGCTAGTGTATGTGTATACATATCGTTACCTTAATGTAGAAAGGCCTTAGCTAATTTTTTTCGAAATTCAGCTCGGATTTAAAATCAACCACATCAAAAATGTTAGTTTCGGTGTTTATTAAAGACCATTGTAATGAAAAAAATCGCAATTGAAGAAGTTTTGTAACTACTTCGTAAAAAAACCAAAATGTTAGATAGGGCGCTGCTATACTAAGGTAACGACATGTATGAATGTATGTACAAATATAAATAGTGTTGCATGCAAGCTTTTTCAAATGAAACGTATGGCAACGACTAGTTTTAACATAATAGAAAAAAGAAACTGTTACAAATTAACTTATTAATCTAACAAAAAAGTTTTCATTTACATTATAGAGATGTGGCCAACCAATTAGATCCAACCTTCTCTAACATGCAGGAACCGTAGTGTACATATTATTTAAAAAACTTCTTTTGAGTTTTACTTCTTGCTTAGAAAACAAGACTTATTTTTTTAGTCTTGATTACGAAATAAATAATATTTTATAGATTTAGTTTTTATTTTCTAATGAATGACATTTATTTTCTAAGCAACAGCGAAAACTCAGATTTTTTTAAAAAAGAAACAATCAAGGAGTATTTAATAGCCGTCTTTAAGTAGAAAATTGCACTAATGGTGATTTCGTTTCTACCAAAAACTGCCGCCTTTTGATTGCCCCTTTCTCTGTTCGCATTCGATTCTAAATTAAAGGCAAAGGGGTGAGAAAATTGTATGTTCGTTTCTTAAAATGTCGCACTTTTTTAAGGCAAAGAAGGCACATTATCTGCCCTTCGAAGCTTTGCCAGGGGAGATGGTTGCCCTGAAAATCAGATGATTGCTTAAATCGATGGTATTATAAAATGCGGGAACTGGACAAGAACAGGAAGGCAAAAACATGCCCCTTTACAAGCTTGAAGAAGTTACTACAGAAAAAGAGATTAATTAGGGAATATTTAAATTTATGTCGTTTTTCTCTTTTCAATGGAATGACCCCATAACAAATTCTACGTACAACGACAGTGTGAATTACAACAAACACATCATTTTAACGTTATGATTTCCTCGGCGAAAAATTCAGCTGTCGCCTCAACACCACTTTATTGAATTCGCCTTGGAAGATAGTAGTTGCGATCCCGTACGAGTCCGGACTTGTCAGAAATAGTCAGAATCAGTCAGAATTTACCGGAAATCGATCCCGTACTCAGCTCTCTGCCTATTGGGAGGACAAAAAAGAGAGTAAATACGGTTCTCTCTCTGTCAGAAGTTACCAGTTTTAGTCCGAGAATGTTTTGCTGGTAAATTCTGGTAAATGTGTCAAACGATCAGCTGTAGTGTGTTTGACAACCAAATTGTAAACAAAAGAAAAGTGCACTCTGCTAATTCATGTTGAAAAGTATTTTATTACTTGTTTAAGTGGATTCTAATGAATTTGAAAGTATTTTTGGTTATTTACACACTTAACATACAAAATAAACAAAAATTTATAACCAAAATTTGGAGGTTATGTTGAAGTTGACAGAAGTTACCATTTTTTACTAGAAAGCGATCCCGTACTTTTCAGTGTTATTCTCGTACTTTTCAATGTTATTCTCTCGCTCTGAGCGAATTTTTATTTTTTTACAGCTTTACTAGTCCGAGTCCGAGGAATACGGGATTGCACCTAGTTTTTACTCATAGAGGATATATCAGGGCGAATCCATATGAGGTGGTGTCGAATCACGGCATAAGTGATTGAAAGAAACTCGATTCGAATCAAATGAAGTAAAATGACAGCTGATTTTTCAATAACAATTTAAATTGAAAAAGCGAACTCGCTACGGAATGCCGCCATCTAGAAAAGAAATTGCGAATCAAATTTGCTTTGATCACGGATGCATGTATTAATTTAATAAGGGGATTAAACAGGTACACTCCACTATAAGATTTTTGATTTAAATTATATTTGAAATGCTTAAAGTTTGCAACCCATTCGGTTTGCAATTGAAAAATATTGGCATAAACATCTGCTTGAGATGCAACTTCACTTTAAAATTAGTTATGGTCAGAGCTAACCTTTAATTTTTATTTTATGTGTATTCGATGACCAAATATGTATGTACACCCCGCGACAAAAGATGGCACATCGACATTTTTACCAGTTTTGACTACTTTTCTATTGCTGTTTTAAGGCTCAATATGTTTATATAAATAATACAACAATATAATAAATTTCAGACTTTGTACAAAAATTCCATGAACTTTTCATCCCAATCCAAGCATTTCAATTTTAAATTCCAGAATAATTTTTGGTATGCAGTTTTATAGCTCATAAAATTCTAATATAACAAAGTGCAAATTTTAAGTTTCTAAAAAATCGCGTTGATTTTTGATACTTTTTTTTTGTGACGGTGACTTTGTATGGAAGTAAATGCGTGATATCGTAAGCAAAAAAATCAGTCCAGCGCCTTCGTCTTGTAAACTTATACTAGGTTCACATATAAGTAGATTATCCTCATTTTCGAGCTTAACACCCTAATCTGTAATTATAACAAGAGATTAGCCATATAAAATTCGTCCCTTGTTAATCTGTAATTATAAAATAATCTCAGATTTAACCGATAACTTTTCGGTGTCCATCCTAGTTTTATCGATTGTTTTTGCGAAAGAGAGGAGAAATGCCAAATGTAAAAGTAAACAAAAATGTACGCTAGCAAGTAAAAGAGGTTTGTAAAGGTATTTTTAATAAAATGTTAAGTTAAAATATATTTATATTGCTTATTATAGCAGAAAAACGTGATCACGGAGGCACAGAGAAGAAACATAAAAAAAAATTATTTTCCTTAAATACTTCAATCTTTGACCTTGAATATCTTTAAATGGTTATATTAATGAAAAGAGTATACGATACCGCTTTTGTAGAATTTCCTATAAATATGGACGATGCAGCTGGTTTAACGATCTCTTGGTGATAAGATATGACCATTTTTATATGAGACTGGTAAACTATGATGAGCATAATCATCCCGTTAATATTAAGAGCTCAGATTTGGTAAGTACTTTCTAGAGGTACCCAGGAACTAGTTTTCGTGTGTCGGATAAAAAAAAATACTTGATTTTTTTTTACTTACCCTAGGATATACATTTCAATTTTTCTACTTTTATCTAAGCCTTAAGCCAAACTTGCTTTTTGAAAGATCGATTGATACTCATAGTGTAATAAGCAGGGAACGATTTCGATTAAGAATGTCCACGATTTAGCATATCGAAACGTAAGACGTATTCTACGTCAAAATATCAAAAATCAACGCGATTTTTTAGCAACTTAAAACTAACACTTTATTATACTAGAATTTGATGAGCTATAAAACTGCATACCAAAAACTATGCTGGAAAGTAAAATTAAAATGCATGGAATTTGGGTGAAAAGTTTGTGGAATTTTTATAATTTTTGTATGATGTCTAAAATTTAGATTTATATATAAAATTTAGATTTTATATTTCTTCAAAGAGCCATACTTGTATATAAAAATAAGGAAACTTAAAAAAATCAAAAGAAAATAGTCAAAACTGGTAAAGATGTTGATATGCTATCTCTTCTCGCGGGGTGTATGTATACATCACGTCTATTTAAATCTCTTCGTTTTCTTTCCGGAAAGTATTGGTAGATTTTTAGCCTTTCATGGTTAAAATGGTAGCAAATAAAATAGCTAAAAAGTTGGTAGATCTACCAATAAAGTAGTACAGTCCGTGCACTGACTATATTCATGCACATATTTATAGCTTCGAATTACGGGAAATTCACGAGATCAAGTTGAGTTGCTATTTAGTTGCCCACTTCTCTGTATGAACTAAAAATCAGCCAATTGGTGAAATATGTGTAACGTTTTAAATGTACTCACTTTTAAAGCGGATTTCAAAACGACTACATCACCAGGACTCTGTACCCAAGGTTCTCCATCGACTTGAACTGGCATATCTGAATATAAGTGAATTTTTATATGACCGCCCTGCAAAAAGAAAGTTGTAAATAAAACAGATACGTACGACTGTCACGTTTGTGACGTATGTGGCGTATGGAAATACCCATGATAAAAATATAGTAAGGTAGAACCGCTGAGAGTCACTTTTAAAATTCTTGACGTTTCCAAACAATTTAATTTTTAAATTTACTCACAAACTCACACACACATTTTCATTTTCAATCTCAAGCAACAACAATTTCGAACAATTT